GCTACAGTTTGAACAACAATGTAAGCAGCTGTTAAAGTGAATATGTTTGATATACTATAATTTATTTCCAGTTAGTACTGGTTTATTCTTCAAAAGGACTCGTTTCTCTGCCATAAAGTGAAGCCATCTTTGTATTTCCACTGAAAGGTTCTCAAGATATCAGTGAAATATTTCACAGGAGAAGATGTGAGCAAACATCCTCCGGTCCACACAAACTTTTAAACCAAGAACGCTGTGAAATGTGACACACTCGGGGATTCTGGTCTGCTCCTGGTCCTGCTGGCACCCTGGCCACATCAAAGCTTAGCCCCACCGCAATGGGCTCCCATGAGGGTAATGTGATTAAGTTTGATGTGGATTAACAGTTTCCGGAAAACTCCAGACTAAACGGACAGCGGTGGAAGATCAGACCTTCAGCCGGAAGCTCCCTCGCTGGGAAATCAATGAAAACGGTTTAGTTGGGCCGGGTTACAGCTGAGTCCAGTACACTTAGTTTGATTTTATGTCTTTATCTCTGCAATTTAATAACATGGTGTGTTGCAGTTTCCAGGGGGCAGTCACACAAGTCCACCAAGGCTGAAAATGTGGCCTCGACGTGTGAACAGTAGCCGAATTACATGAAAATGTTAACAGGAACAGATCAAATTATAAGAAAGAAATTTACGATTAACAGTTCGGGATTTTTCAAATTTATTGCTTTGCATTGAACTCAAGTGTTAATAGTTAAAAGTTCAAGCAGTCCTTGAAGAAAAGTCTATGTGACCCTGCTGGCAAAATGAGTTGGAATGAGCAAATTAAGTGAAAATGTTCATTTTGGTTCTAATTTAGTCTATAAAGACACAATCGAGGAATCCCAGAAAAAAAAGCACATAATCTTCATTATCTACCTTTAGATCAAAGTTTTCTAACAGGTATGTCTTCAGAAATAATCCTTTGTCCTATAAGCCTTGGAATTTCTTTTGAAATTGACCATTTTCTAGTGTCGGGAAATCCCTTCATATAATGTTTGGTGTCATCGTGAAGCTTGGGGATTCCCCATTTTAAATATAAGGCTGGAGTCACTCCAAACCAGTAAAAAATATATATTTTTCTCATAAACAAAACTAGCTTGTTGCCAGGCCAGGTGATTATATTAGAAAATGTCAACAAACTACTTATCAGTTTGAGAAGTACACAATTAAAAAGAGTGGGTCCTAAAACTGAGCCTTGCGGCACACCGTGACCGTTAAGTAGCTAGATGAACTAATGTCGAACACATTGCCTCTGACCTGAGAGATGGTTTGAAAACCAACCAACAGCGTGATCTGAGAAGCCAATTTGAAGCTTTTTGGGTGGAAGAGATGAATAATTAATACACAGAATTGACAAATTGCCTCATTGTGACTCATGTTGCCAGTGCTTTAGACTAAAATCATCTAATTTCAAAGCCAATTTGGTCAAACTTTTTTTTTTGCGATTTTATATTATATTGGAGCATCTTGTTGTGAATGACTGTCAGCAACTACCACACCAATTTTAGCTCAATATCTGTAAAATTCACTTAGTTGTAGCAATTTTTGCGTAGGCTATGCTCAAACAGCTGTGGTGGTCATCTTAAATTGAGTTAACTCTAAAAGCTAAAGGCAAGGTTTTAAAGAATTACATTTAAAGTATGTTTGGGGCAAAGCTCAGCTACTACCACATCAAATTTTAGCTGAATATTTGTGAACTTAGTGAAGTTACAGCTATTTTTGAATTTGGATGGCCAGTTGACTGTGAACACAAAATATTTACCAAATCTCTGGATTTCTGTCACCAGTAGCAGAAGAATCAATGACACTGATCGATTTTGTGTCAAGATTGTAAAATAGTAGGGACGCACGATATTGGATTTTTGGCCGATACGCCAATATGTTAAAACTTATTTAGCCGATAACCGATACCAATACCGATTCTATTGTTTTTATTTTTTTCCTTAGACCTACTAACAGAGATTACATAGCTTTCTTTGCTGTGAAATTAAAATACTACATTATTCTGCATGGTCTTTGTCAGTTTGGCTGCTACCAAATACAGACGTTTATGTTTTCTAACACAACGATAACACTCGAACAGTGCAAATTTGTAAATTCTCACAAATTTAAACTCAACCTGTTCGCAAGCGAAAAGTGCATAAGTAGTAGTGTGTTAATACTTGATAGTTTCTTAAATTAAAAACTAACTTAAAACAAAAGCCTTTTATATCGGTGAGTTATTTTGATGGAATGGCCGATGTCCGATATTTAACTTTATCGCTAATATCGGCCGATACGATACCATACCGATAATATCGTACATCCCTAAAAAATAGCAGCGTAATAAATTCCTTTGGATTTACCAAGACAATATTTTAACACTTGTGATGTAAAAAGTTTAGCTCTGCCGTCTCAGCCGTGTTTTTGTTTGTCCGTGTTTGTTCAAGCTGTTATAAAAAGCAAACTCCTGTTTTCTTTGCGCCTGAAAGCATACATCATCTGTCTCCTAATACCAGGAAGTGGACTCTGTTTTCTATTTTTCATCTTTGTGACTGCATCCTCTGTTATCACCCCCGGCCTCCTCGTGTTTGTGTGCGAGGACAGAGACGTGGCACGATAACGCCGGTGACCGTGACCTCCTGGCTTCACGGCCCGAGGCTGCTGGGCAGGCTTGATAAGTGGGAGAGGAAACGACGCGCTGCCAGCTTTCCACTGCCGCGCAAATGGGGCTCGCTTATTATTTATGTCACTCAATTTCCTCAGAAACAGCATTTTTCTTTTTGGGGAGCGTCTCGTAGCCCGGCGTTACAGTTTGCAGTGTTTTTGAAAGATCTTCGGCTGATCCTGATCCCAGAAATACGTCGCGGCATCTCATATCCGCTGCTGAGGAGCTCAAAATACAACCGTGGCGTCTATAAATGCAGCTTTTGTGCTATAATTTACTGTCAGTTCTAGGTTTAGACTGTAAGCGTGCGAGGCTTATCGTCTCGGGCTTGTAATTTCCCAGGAGAGCGCCCTTGTCCTTGTGTCGAGTTGTTTTAATGTCAAACTTTTATCTAGCTTTAATTGTTAAAACTGGACTGAATGTTTTATCTGGGATATTTACATCTTCGTATTAACAAATAAAAACATCTAAAAGCACTGAAATGTCTCTATTCTATAGATCATTTGTCCGTTTTTAAACCTGCTTGTGTTTAAAAGGTTCAGGAGTCGATTCTCGGCTCTGTCCTAGAGTCCTGCGGCGTCTCACGCCAGGACACTGACGCTGGATCTTCCTTGTTTTTGTCCTGTGGTTTGTCCTGTTCGGACACATAATTAAGATGGGTGGTAGCTGCCGAAGCAGGGTCCACGTGGACGAAAGGACACTTGGAACCGGGTCAGTGGTTTGAAAGCTCAAGGAGAAGAATCTGCTGTTACAAGTAAAAGATGCAGCGCTTTTAAAAAGTCGGTCCGTCTTTGCAGCTTCGGTCGATTAGACGCAGAAATACAAAACGGCAGAGCTGCGAATTGATCTCGAGCTTTGAATCGGCGTCTACTTCTTCGTCCTCCGTCAGCTCGAAAGTATGTTGGGAAGGCACGGAGAAGCGTCGCTGCGGTTTTTACTCATTAAGTCTCACGTTTCCTCCCAGTCGTTAATTCTCAGCGAGGCTCGTTTGTCAACACGGGCGAGCTGTTTCGTGGGGTTGGGTGTTACACACAGACGGGAGCGTTTCCTGCTGCTTCTCGACGCTTTTCATGAAAATAAAACCGTTAGAAGGTCAACGAGGCGGGAGAAGACTAGTTTATTTAAAAAAAATAAAGCTTTATGATGCCAAACGACCATGTGGGACACATTTAACCGTATCTCCCCCCCCCCCACCAACGTTAAACAATTGAAACCTAAGCGTCGCCTTTACATGAAAAGCGCTGCAGTTCTGTGGGGCGCACGGTTTATTTAAAGATCCAGTGTCTCTTCACAATTATTTCCGTTTAGCGGTTGAATTCTGTAACCATTTTTGGGGTCGGGCACAGATGGCCGTAGCCGGAGGGAATCCCTGGTGGCTTTTGGAGTTGAAAAACCCCTTAAAGGCTCGCCGTGCTGCTCTGATGTGGGCCAATGGCTACCACAAGGATCTGACAGCTTCCTGGCACGCCATTGGCTGCCGAAACTTGCGGCTTCCTGTCTAGGGCCCCTCTGCTCTGCCAGGGAGGAAATGAGAGGGAGGAGAGGGTTGTGTCACAGGAATCTGGTATTAGCGTCTGCTGCTCTTTGAATTTTCAGAGCAGCTAAATGAAAAACCACAGAGCTTACTTAATTCCCCACCGTTATTTTGGCTCCCCGGAGCAGAGGAACGCGGCGCACGGGAAGAAAAGCGCAAAAATAATTTAAAATACTACAAGTAGATCATTCAAGCAGCTAAATTAGGCAGACATGGAACATGTAAAAGATGGATTTGGTGTTGCTTTTTATTAAAGCCACCTAAGCTGCAGCATCTTCCCGTCTGGCCTCTTCGGCTCCACGTCCTGCCGTCTCCGCAGCCGAAGCCGCGAGGACAGTCGTAAAAGAAGAAGACACGGTCCAAAAGTTGACCCAAACAGCTGAGCGACGTAGTTCGGAGTTCGCATCGTCCTGCTCCAACCGAGCTCTTTTCAGTCTGCAGCTTTTTCAGGTGTTTACTTTTTCTAAAGACTGGCCGGACAGAACGGTAGTCCTGCTGCGGTGGAAAAACACGCGACAAGCGAATAAACATCTGGAGGCATCGTTTCTCAGTCAGAACGGATCAAACTGACTTTCGCTGAGTTTTACATAAAGACGTTATATGATGAGTTCGTGCTCGGGTGATGCGTCAGGGACGACCCTCAGCTACTACCACGCCAAACTTTAGCTCACTGTTTATAAAACCGACTAAATTACACTGCTTTTGTCTTTTAGGCGGCCATCTTGACCCCAAATGATTACACCCCGAGCGTTCAGTTGAAATCCGTCCGCTTGTTTGTGAGATATTTTGCTAACAGAACAGAACGTACCGAACCTGCGGCAGAACACTCCCATGACGGCGCTCTTCTCCACCACCCTCAGGTCCGCCAGCAGAGCCAGCTCCAGACCTCCAGCCACGGCGAAACCGCTCACCGCTGCTATCAGAGGCTTGGACAGCTGCAAACGGGTCGGACCCTGAGGACACAACCGGGTCAGACCGGTACCGGACATCACGGTTAGCACACGAGAAATAAACAGACTGAACGAGGGAAACGTTGTCAACTGCTTTTCTTGCAATCTGCCACGTCTGCAGACTTTGTGACATTTTAGCTGTTTATCAAAATGTTCGGCTGCTATGACTTTGGGGCTTTGTAACTTTTATACATTATGAAATATTTTTACTTTACTGCCGTGTTTTCCACACAGAAACACAAAACTACGTGAATTCATCCAAAATAAATTGGTCACTTTGAAATCTGTTTGACTTTTTATGCTACTTTTAGATTTTAGCTGTTCTGCCTGAAGCTTTTAGGTACCCTTTTGTTATTTTATGCTTTTAACAAATCTTTTATTAGATTCAGCTTTTAGTTAGCTTCTTGCTACTTTTAGCTACTCTTTTGCTACTTACGTTTTTATCTAGACTTGATTTAATTTCAACTAACTTAATGCGGCTTTAAATGAGCAATTTAATACTTTTAGCTTCTAAATAATGTTTTGCTACTTTTAGCTAGCCTCAAGCTCCCTGATTTTTTCGCCTTTTAATACATTTAACATTAACTTTTAGCTAATCTTTGCTACAATTAACTTTTTTGCTACAATTTTGTTACATTTAGCTTTTAGTTAGCGTTTAGTAATTTTTAGGTTTTTGCTACCAAATGTTCTACTTTTAGCCAATCTTTTGTTAGTTTCAGCATCGAGTTACCGTTTGAATACATTTAGCTAACTTTTTAACACAATTCCAATTTAGGGAATTTTGCTTTGCCTTTTGCTTTTTTAGCTTTTTGCCAGAATTTTGCTCTTTTCAGCTTTTAGTTAGTCTTTTGCTACTTTTGTTTTTAGGTAGCCTTTTGATATTTTTGACTAACTTATTGCGGTTTTCAATTAGCATTTTAATACTTTTAGCTTCTAGATATTTTTTGCTACTTTTAGCTAACTTTGTGCAACTTATCGTTTTAGCCTTCTACAACATTTAGCATTTAGCAACATTACCATTTAGCTAACCTTTACTATAATTAATTTTTTAGCAAAAATGTTATTACATTTAGTTTTTAGCTAACGTTTAGTAACTTTTTTAGCTTGTTGCAATCAATTTTACTATTTTTAGCTTTTAGCCAGCCTTTTGTTAGTTTTGCATCCAGCTACATTTTAACATATTTAGCTAACTTTTTTTAATCCCTTTTAGTTATTAGCCTTTTCCTTTATTTATTTATCAATTTGCTAGAATTTAGCTGTTTTCAGCTTTTAGCCTTTTGTTACTTGTAGCTTTTACCAAGCATTTAGCTAGTTTTGACTTTTAACTAGTCTTTTGAGATTTTTGGCTAACCTTTTGCTACTTTGGCTTTTAATTAGCATGTTGTTAGTTTTAGCAAGCCTTTTACCATTTTTAGCTTTAACCTAACATTTTTCTGCTTATAGCTAGAACTTTGCAAGTTTTAGCTTTTACAATAACTTGTGATTACATTTAACTTTCAGTTAGCTTTTTGCTACTTTTAGCTAGCCTTTTGCTACTTTTAACTAGTCTTTCGCTATTTTAGCTAACCTTTTGCTACTTTTAGCTGGCATTTTGCTACTTTAGCTAATCATTTACTACTTTTAGCTAGTCTTTTGCTACTTTTAACTAGTCTTTTGCTATTTTAGCTAGCCTTTTGCTACTTTTAGC